GCCCAGTGGCGGTAGGCAAGAGCCATCTGCGCGTACGCACTGTCGCCGAGCGCTCCCATCGTGTAGTGCACGAGGGCCTTGGCTTGGGACACCGGCACGCTTATGCCTGTCGCGTAGAGGAAACCCATACCCTGAAATACATACTACATATCAAAAACAGTTTCTTCAAACTTTTTAAAGAATTCATCATTATTAGTTGCTACTTTGTTTCTACTTTCTGAACTGTTAGTAGTTTTTACGGCTCTGGGAACTATGCTGCAACATGACAATATGACACAAATGCACGAGCGTTGCTATCCTTAATTTTCTGAAATTTTTAAATTAATATTATTAGTTTTATTTTATTATATTTAGTAGCAGCTGTGGAGCTCATTGTGAAAGAGTTCGTCCTAGGAAGCACAGCCACCTTACCTATCTCTGCCGCCAAGTAGTAATTTTAGCATTACTGCGTTCCGGTTTTGAAGGGTATAAGGGTGCTGGTGAAATGACAGGTACATGGGACTTGTCAACTATGTCTCAGGATGACGGGCGCAGTCGCAGCGCCCCTCAGGTCTTTGCGATTTATAGCTCTGAGTGGCACTGCAATTGCTGTTAAAGTTACACGCCTGTCCATAACAGTTGTAGTGCCATTCAGAGCTATAAATCGCAAAGATCTGAGGAACACTGCCACTGTGACATAAGTTGACAAGTCCCATGTGCCTGTCCTTTCACCAGCACCCTTACCCATCAAAACCGGAACGCAGTAATGCTCACATTACCACCTGGCGGTAGAAATAAAAAATAAATAAACATTCACACATATACATAACTTAGAAATTAAATAATAAATAGGTACATGCCACTTCTAGAAAGTGACCAAGTATAAGCAGTATTGTATTATCTGTGGTATAAGGTTCTGGCTATACTTACAGCATGTGCTTCCGCGTTCCCTTCGTCAGCCAACTTTTCAAAAATATTCTTCGCCTTCTCCAAATCTAGCTCCACACCCTCCCCAAATAGGTACGACCAGGCTAGCTTGATCTTCGCGGGGACATATCCCATGTCAGCAGCTTGTTTTACTTGAAGGATCGCACCTCGCAGGTCGGGAGATCGACGATTTAGTTTTGCGGTCGCCGCGTCGTATAATTCTTTGGCTGTGAATTTGAAAGGTGTTCTAAACAACTGATAATTAAAAGAAAGCTGGCATCAGGAACACACGAATCTAAAAATGATAAGGTCCATTTTAGTAAACACGCTCCTGAGTCCAGGAATAAGTAGTCATCAGCTGAGGCATCTCAAGTGGACAACACCCTGTACTTAACTGATTAGGATTTAACGACCTTGGCCCGTAGGTTAAAATACTAAGTGATATTTATCAATAAGCAAAAACTTTGGCAACACTCAAATGATGCATAATCAATGGGGATTCGCTCTGGACCTTTTGGAGGGAAAAGTGTCGTTTTTATTTTGACTTTCAATTATTTTGTGAAATCTAGTTTAAAGTGGAATAGGATAGTGCTATTGTGTCTTGGTCGAGGATTGGAACGCGAAATTATACGAATCTCGAACTAAAATACCCGTATCGGCCCGTTCTAAGGAATCCCGAGTCAATCCAAGCACGCCGCCTCAAATTGCCTATCCTCTTTGTGGCGGCCATATTTACAGAAAAACTTATTTTTATGTTTTCGGCTGAAGGACTTTGTTTCCATGGCCAGAAATAAATTAATAAAAAAAAAGAATAATCAATGAGCAACTTAGTTCCTCGCATGATCCCTTTTTCACTCTTTCTTAATTCAAATTCTAAGATCCTAAAGTTTACATGCAAAAAAGAATAAAATTAATCCATATTAAATTAAATATTAAATAGAATTACAAAATAATTATTTACAATAAAATAAGGCAAATTAAACATATTAAATTAATTATAAAATTAAAATTAAATTTAACTAGGTATATTGTTATGAAAATTGAAGAAGAAATAAAATTCTAAAAATAGACTAATCAATAAATCTTACTCTATATATATTCTCCACCTCCCTAATCCCATTTCCAAATGTCATAAGATCATAGACTGTGATATTATAAATTTCCCAGTTTTAAAAACAAGTTAAAACACCTTGTAAGTGGCTCAAGCGCTAACCGCAAAAAGATAAAAAAAATGGACGTGCACTCAAGTGGTATCAAAAAAATGGCGGGCTTTTCAAGTTACAAGTAAAGTTTATTTTAATTTTAATTTTAATTTTAAGTATATTATGAAGAAAATACGAAGAAAGAAATAGTGATGAAGAAAGTTTGAACTATATTCCTTATTTTGAACCAAATTACAAAAGAGTTTATCCTGAAAGTTCCACTAATTACGAATTCAAAGTTTTTGTTCAAAGTGACAATAATGTGATTTAAATGAAAGTGAAAGATAAATATTGATTCCCGCCGCTTAAAAGACTATTTAAAAAACTCAAACAAGTGAACTAAGTTATTTAAGAGAAAGTGAAAACATAATGTATTAGAACCACAATGGAAAGCATTTATAATCCCGATAATTAAACGAAGACATGGCTCAAAGGACTTGTATCTAAGTCAAAACTCTAAATAAATAAAAAAGTGGTAATATTCTGGGTTAGCAAAAAGGCTGTGTGGTTTTTGCCACTTGCTTACTAACATAAAAAAGAACTTAATTGTTTTAAAATTTTATATTGTCTATGGTCTGTTGAAAAAATAATATTCTATCGCGCATTTTACCAATACCTACGCGGGAATGAATAAATTCGTGAAAAACTCCCACAATTGGTGAATCGTATAAGTGTCGTATTTCTATTACGGTAGTGCAAAATAATTTCATTTAAGAGTTGAAAAAAAAATTCATAGAAATATTTGAAAATGTGTTTGGGTTACAACAGCAAGTTTGTATTGTAATTTTGTACCTTCTTGAAGTTCAGGCGTGAGTTCGATTTTTTCCTCTACAGGCAAAGGCGGTAGACTGTCCAGAATGTCCTGAGGATTCTCTTCTGGTTTCCTCTGAAATTTAATTATATGCCATAAGATAACAAAAAAAACATGTCAATGGGTCAATGACTCCGCTACAGAGGATTATGGTGTATGTAATCCTCAATGTTCTGCCAAAAAAACTTTATATATTATTATTATATATTTAACCGACTTCAAAAGGAGGAGGTTCTCAATTCGCCTTTTTTTACGCGATTAGAGAACCGATTTTGAAATTTTTTTTGTTGGAAAAAAGGTACCTCACTATTGGTTCCACTTAAATTTGAAGAAAATATTCCAGCTCGAAGGGTGTCAAATCGGGTGGCAAAAAAGGGTGGCATGAATCCGGTTTCGCGCATTTTCCGGTAAGCGACTTCAATAAAACTTGGTAAATAAATGTATAGATAGATACATTGACATAATAATACTGAAAAACGACACATAAGCCACAAATTAAAAGAAACCTGCATCCTGGGATTGATAAATTAAAAAAAAAAAGGCAAAAGTGCCACTTGCACTACGACAAAAAGACATTAAAACTAAAAAGGAAGGTCTGCAACAAGTACATAGAGAAATTCGAAAGAAATATATATTAGTTGGGAGAGCGATAGCCCCAGTTTGGCAAGGTCACTGGTTCAAATAATAACGCACACACTCAATATAGCCTAGCCCCGCACTAGGGAAACCCTGTGACGCGGGTGCCATGAACACACACACACAGACAACCAATTTGTGGTTAAGCTGGTTGCCTATCAGTAGTTCGAAATGACATTTTCCAGAAACAACGTTTGCTCGAATTTTCATAACTTCGAAAGTAATTTTGAGCTGAAAATGTTTTTTTCTTTTAAACCTAACCGAACCTAATCGTGTCTTTGCGAAACATGCAACATATCCTGAAAGAACAGCGTTTTCCTTATAATTCGATTTTCGGTGTAATGAAAATTCGAAGAAAGTTACTTCTGAAAAAAAATTCCAGTTTGTGATAGGTTACCCTTTAAGCCATGCATTCAATCTATTTAAAACTATTTGGTAACATTTTAGGAGAACCGATGGCCGTTAGGGCGGAAAGGTTCTTCAATGGCGACCGCGCACCGGACGACCCTCATTGGGTAGGCCCCCCACCAGGTGGACTGACGATCTGGTGGAGGTCACGGGAATCCGATGGATGCGGGCAGCGCAGGACCGATCGTCGTGGAGATCGTTGGGGGAGGCCTATGCCCAGCAGTGGGCGTCGTATGGCTGAATGATGATGATGATGGTAACATTTTAATGTCGTTTGGTAGAGCATTATATATTTGCACACACATACCATTGCATTGATTTTTATAGTGGGACAGTCTAGGTACATTACATTACAAACCAGTCTATTTGTATATTTCGTTCGTTCTTCTTCACTGTGGATGTCAGATCAACCGTTGTTCGATTTTATATTTCCGAAACGAAATAAGATATATAAATTCTCAAAACACCTTTACATAAGCCTTAGTTTGAATAACGAAATTATTCTTGTAAAGTATTTATTCTCTTTTCGCTATATAATTACAGCGGACTCTGTTTTTTGGATGAATCGATTTTTTGTCAAGTTTTATTGGAATTGGTTTCTGGAAAGTGCACGAAACTGGATTCATTCTCTAGTTTGCCACCCTTTAGACATGGAATATTTTTTCTTCAAATACAGTCAAACTGAGAACCTCCTCCTTTTTTAAGTCGGGTAAAAAGGAGTTGTACTTTGGTCTCTGCTCTAAATTTAGCATAAAAACTGTGAACTACATTAAACGCAATTAATTTAGCCAATGTATTGATTATAACAAGTGGAAAGGAGACAAAGGGTTAAAGCTAGGAAAGTTATTCCAATAAGTGATATAATCAGCTGATCAAAAAAACAGGAAGTGACCATTTGGTCGAATGTCAAAAATAGTCATAAAACTTTAAAATAGTGACATCAAACATTACCATAGCCTTTAAAGCTAAACATTAAACACATGTTCTCACATCTCTATCCAAATCTGCCAGTATTCGTTTTTCCTGGACCCAGGCGGGATCCTTCTGCCGCAGCAGACTCCTGCGCAGCAGCTTCAGTGCATGCTCCATCTGCTCCAGGTGGGCGTCACCCACTTGATCTGGCTTTATGTCTTCTGCTTAATAATAAATAGATTACCAGACTATCAAACCAATAACTAGAACCAAAATAGAAAAGTATGTTTCCAAAATTGGTTCAACCAGGAACTTTCCCTGCTGAAACACAGAGTTCTAACTACTGAACGGCTACTTCTTCTATTTTAAAATCAACTGACTGAGGGTGCATTCCCATTATGCCTTGACAACAGACAGTCATTCAGTTTAAAGTGTTGTGGCCTGTATGTTTGTTTACATATAGAACAACACATGCAAACAAGTGCCGACTTTTTTGCAAATGACAAGGTGGCTGCCGTGAACCAATAAATCGTCATCACAATCTAGTTGAAAGAGCTAGATAAGACAGTCGTTCAACAATAAAATAAATGTTCACACCACAGTCACAACAGATAGTCGAGATATGGGAATGGGCTAGACACAACAGTCGTCCAATGATAAATAAAATGTTACAACATAATGGAAACCGCCCTGAACCATACAAAGATTCTCAACAATAAAGATAAATTTGGTAATTAATGATGTGACATGCTTATTAAATAATGTGATTTTTTTTTCTAATATTGTAATTTAAGTCTAAAGACATTTAAGTAATATCACAATTTAACTGCGAGACTAAGTTCTGAGAATGAAATATTTTAAGTTTTCTTGATAGTTAAGAGTATTGGGAAATAATAAAATGATAAGAAACCTACACAAAATACATTAAGCCCGTGCTACAGCAATACCTGGCTAAGGTGTTTACACTATGATGTCATCCATTATGGAGCAATTTAACTGCTTAACTATGAATACAATGGTCTATAGATAATTTTACACTTCAATGGATATACCAATTATTAACAGGCACACCCCAAGGATACAATTTGGTCAATATAGACTAAAAATTGATATTATTACCTTTATTGGGCCGATTGTACTTCTTTATGGCATCGGCATATTCCTGAAGCGTAATAATTTCCTTGTTTACGGCGTCAGTTAGGTCCTTGACGTAATCAGGGTCCAATTGGGGGTTAGTGTCCAGAGTTTCTGAATCTTCCTCTTCCGACTGCTTTTCGGCATCCTTCCGACTCTCAGGGCCCAGCAGTTCAGCGGTAGAAAGCACAAGACATACGCACAACACGTACAACTCCAATCGATTCATCTTAAAACCACTAATATCACCAAAAACTCAAGACTTACGTGTCCCAAAGGTGTCAAAACAAAACCCTTTTTGACCGGCAGATATTTGTTTACTGACATTGAATACAACTTTCTGGTAGTGCAGAACCAGTAATGGTGATACACGTATGACTTTAAAACCGTTAATTACATTATTTCGCAAATTATTTTAATATTTTTCTTGAACATATCCTCACAAATTGACAATCGTTTTGACTGAATTTGGATACATGGAACACATGTCAATATTTTGTAAAATTTCATGACTTCTTGCTTGTATCCGAACAATATCTAGTCAGAATGCTATAACAGAGGCCATTCATTGTCTTGCATTGCAGTCCGCCTTGCCGCCAGACACGGAATGCAAGCCATCCTGTAATCCTGTAAATCCTGCAATGCATCGTGCGAGACTTCATTCAAATCAAATCAAATCGTTTATTTGCATAAAACATGGTGGTCATTATAACACAGTAATATATAAGTTCAAGCATGTTTCGCCCGAAGATAATTTAGGCATGCAAAATAAATGAAAAATAGGTCGTCACATGGTTACATTTACATTAAGTTATATATGATTAATTTAAATTCTTTTACATAAAAATTATTGTACAAATTCCCTAATACTGTAATATACTTTATTCTTTAACAATTCATATAATTTAGTCTTAAATAATGTAATGGGCAAGTGTTTAATGTCATTTGGTAATTTATTGTAAATTCTGACACACACAAACAATTTTGATTTATTATATTCTATTGGGATTTCTATACTTTCGATGGTTCACGTCAATACTCTTAATAAACAAATGTAAATTATTTTTCACAAAAATGCTGGTTTCATAAATATATAAGGCAGGCAGGGGTAATAAACCAAGATCTTTAAATATAGGTTTACAGGATTCAAGCGGAGTCCTACCAGTAATTGCACGTATACATTTTTTTTGCTAATTCGTGGTCATTCGTAGGTCGTACGCAGGATAGTGTCTGCAAGTAGTAAATGGGCCGTTTAATGCTGTTTCTACACTGCAAGTACTGCAACCTGCAATTAAAAAATGAATGAATATTAATTAACTGTGTGCTATTTCAAATTATATATCTTGTTCACCGTGATGCAGCAGCATTGCTATGCACCACGGAAAGTCCGTGTTTTTAATTTGTGTTCTGCACTCGCATCCGCATTGCACTACGTCACAACTGTTGGGTAATTTTCCGAAAAATTTTTAATAGCGGAAATTATTCCGAAAAGTACCCCGAAACATTAAAAAACTGGAAAATATAATTTTGAAGACTTATATTATGTTCTACATTTAAAAATATCTTTTGAAGTTTTATTTTGCGTGAATTATAACAAAAACTTGTATAGCTAAAAGCCACATAAAAAAATGAGATTTAAAAATGATTTCACAACAGCACAAAGAACCTTCAGCAACCACGCCACCACCACTTGTTGTAGGCTTCATCGTTTTCGTTTAGTAACTTCCACTTTTGACTGGAGTCAACGTTAAATATGGAAAATTACGGGAAGAATATCTGGGAAAATATTTACTTTTTGAAATATATGATACGAAAAAAAAAAAAATTCCATGATCCAACACTACTCACATCACAGCAAGCATTTCATAATTTTTCTCAACATGATTGAAAACGAACCGTCAGTCGTAAAGTCACACACAATTACAATATGTCAATTCGGTGTCAAACAAAGGTAATCAAAGGTTTTGAAAGTCAAGGCGACAATCAAAAGTTAAATTTAGGTATATAATTATAGATGAAAATAGAGAATATCTGCGCAATTATAAAGAAATCAACTGATTTAGTTGTGTATTTGTTACAATCACTTTCTAAAGACGTATAAATGACATTGGAATTGTTGAAAGTAATTCCGATATTTCCCTATAACCTATGACGATGTTACGACTACCGGTTTCGAGCAAAGTCTTATATTTGAGAACTTGGACGCGCTCGAAGAGTTCGAGCTGCTTTATAAGGAGCACGTTCTTAGACTATTTCGTGGGAAAACACAGTCATAAATATGTAAAATCCAGTTCTGTTGTACCTCTGTACGATGCTTCTGTGCCGTTTGTTAATGCTGGAATGAACCAGGTAATGACCTTGTTTTTGTTGTGACTGAACTATTTTTACATTTATTTGTGGTTTTAATTTACTGTTTATTTTTATATGACTTTTATTGGCACCAAAATAATCATCACATCCTGATAGTACAACTGTATTTAAAAAAAAATGCTTCTGCTTTATTGTTGGATTTCAAAAAAGGAATTATTTTAAAAACCAAGCATTTCCTTACCTTACGGTGAGGTATTTGAATGAGAGTCTAGATTTTAGGAGATGAGGTGTTGTGTGCATCCGTGTCGATAAACCACTGGGCAATTTTCAAGTTTTGGGATAAATCTGATTTCAATTATGCTAGGGTTTCAGTTGAAAATTTAACAGATTCTCTGTAGTACTTAAAGAGAGATATCTACTTATAAAAATTACGTGCAAAGTTTAAAGATATTTTATTCTTAAATAATTTATATCTTGGTTTTTAGCCTGTTTTCAATATTTATATGATTGGGTAAAGTATGTCCTATCTTGTAACAAATTAGCACATTCATTAGTCAACAGCCTAAGATGTATTGTATGTTTTTGTTAAGAAAGTTATTTAATGTAAATGCTTAAAACATTTGATCTAGTAGAACAGTTTTTCCCATTTTTCCTCTGGTGATTCACCTTAATATTTTACAATTAGATACATCTTTAATAATTTTGCGTACTAAAATAATTTTAGTTATTGTTGTGTATTCGAAAGCCAGTCTGAAAAAAAACTGAGTGACAATGGTAGCATCCCAACCAAGGTCATTAAAAGAAAAATAAAATAATTGACCAGTAAAAGTATTCACTCGTGACTATGGAGTGTTTAACAGTTCCACAATATTGGGATAATCAGAAAAAGTCATACCATGGTTAAAAACTTATTTCCAATGGTAATAATTTAGTGAATAACACAAAATCCTTAAAATTTATAATCAGAATGGTTTGTAAGGAATATCTAACTAATCCGATGTGGAAATGAAAGTATTTGTTCAATTCCATATCACATATATTTGTTTCGGGCTATTTATAGTTTATCTTCAGCCAATGAGACCTGGGGCCTCACCATGAACTCATATTACAGTTCAGTATAGGTTTGTATCGACTAAAAAGCGGAATTGTTTATATACACTTCACCTCACCATGTAGCGCTGTCTCACAGCGATTCATTTTAGGTCCTACACTAAATCGCAATTAGAGTTCATGGTAAGGCCCCAAAAAAGAGCTCAAAACTTTGATATGCTTCAAAAAATAAATATGCAATTTTGATCAAAAAAAAAGTTTCATTTTCCAATAGGAATCTCAAAAATCTAAGAATGAGGAAGACGTAACGAGGAGTTAGATTTGGGACTTGTCAACTTATGTCTCAGGGTGGCAGCCACGGTGGCGGTTTCCCTCAGATCTTTGCAACTATTATGGATAGGTGTGTAGCTTGACACCAGGTGCACAATATGTTCGTCCTGTTATTTGCTATCAAAAATTAAATTAAATTGTCTGCATTAGTTCTGGTTTGAGTCTCAGGGTCCAGAACATAAAACCACTATTTTCCGTAAACATATCTAAAGATATAGTTATTTCTTATTCTATATGTTTATTCTACTTATTTTATATTTTATTCTATATATTTTATTCCAGACCTAGTTATTTCTGTATGTTTCAGTTCAAAGGTATATTTCTTGGTAAAGTGGATCCCCCATATCCTAGAGCTGTAAACTCTCAGAAATGTGTACGAGTGGGAGGCAAGCATAATGACCTGGATGTAGTTGGAACTGATGGACATCACCATACATTTTTTGAGATGCTTGGCAACTGGTCTTTTGGGGATTATTATAAGGTAACTTATTTTTTACTTTTTTGTATTGTTATTATGTATTTGTCCATGTGCAATAAAGAATATTTGTATTGTATTGTAAAAAAATATGAATTGGTTTATTTAACACATATATATGTGTATATACACCATGACAGTTATATTTTTCCTTACAACATATGAATATACAGAGTGGAAAAACCAATAAGACATAAAGTGGACTATGTTAATGTTTAAGATAGGGAATTTTACTTAAAAGCAACAATGTTTTATTTTTTTTAACATGCCAAATACGCTTAGGTACCTGAGCCAGGAATCAAAGCAACTAAAAATGCAAAAAATATACACTCACTATTTTATTGTACTAATTGATAAAATCAATCGTAAGAAAAAAGTCTCTCCAATAAACATTGGGTCTTTCGACACAAGGCGTTCATGGAATTTAATATATACTACTACAGGCCAACCGCGTAACTGAGTCGGTTCCTGAGGTAGCGGCGTGCTGCGGGAGCAGTGACAGTTTATGTAAGGGGGCGTTCCCATTATGTTGTAACGTTTTATTTATAGTTGGACGTCGTGTCTAGCCTGTTCCCACATCACGACTATCTGTCGTGACTGTGTCGTGGACATTTATTTTATCGATAAACGACTGTCGTGTCTGGTTGTTCCCACTAGATCGTGACGACAATTTATCGGTTCAATTCAACCGCCTTCACATTTGCACGGCGGAATCGTTTGAAGCTGCGATTATCTGTCGTCACATTTTGATCGTGACGATTTATTTATCGTTGGACGACTGTCGTTCTAGCTCTTCCCATTGTCACGAGAGTCTGTAATCGTAACGTCAAAAAAGTCGTAAACAAAAATTAATCGTGGTGTTCTGTATGAACAACTTCATTTAAATATACAAGTCACTTTAAAAAGCATGGCTATCTGTCGTCACGACATAATGGGAACGCGCCCTAAGAGTTACGTCGCGCTCCACACGGGATAATTTCAACAAGATTTTTCTGACGATATTCAATAATAATCATTATCATTTTATTCTATAATTCGAACACATAAAAGAACATTATAAGTAATAAGTAGGTCCATGTACTTAGAAATTAAAACCAGTTCTAAATTAAAAGTTGATTGAGTTGGATTCCATCATACACACTGTCTGCACAGGATTATGAAATCCTAAACTAGTACTTATTTTGCAGAACGAAGCCTGTCAAATGGCTTGGGATCTACTTCTCGGTCCATATAGGTTGAAACCTGAGGATCTAGTGGTAACCTACTTCCAAGGTGATGCGATCATGGGCCTAACAGAGGACACGGAGTGCAGGGACATTTGGAAGAAAATTGGGTAAGAAATATTTGCTTAATAACTGTAGTTAATACTTCTAACATTTAAGCAAAAACTTCATTTAAAACATCTCGATGCAAAACAATACACTCCAATAAAAATTATGAGGTCACCAACCATTTCTTTCTTAATGCTGGAAATGAGATATGCGTATCGCTCGCCTCAGCGAGCAGTTATGGTGAAATCACAAGCACATGCGACTTGTCAACTTATGTCCCAGGGTGACAGGCGCAGTGGGAGTGCCTCTCAGATCGTTGTGGTTTAAAGCTCTGAGTGGCACTGCAACTGTTATGGACAGGCGTGTAGCTTACCATCAGGCGCACGACTTGCTTGTTCCGGCACTTGATATTATTTTAAAAAAATGGGACTCCCAAGCACTGGCCCTGTACACTGACTAAAACCCATCAGTGAAACCCAGCTCGCCTACTACCGGGAGGTCTCGGCGGATAGCCCGCGCGGAGCGGGCCACAGCTTTTGGAGGATGATCAAGGTGTAAAAGTCACCAGCCATAAGCTAATAACTCGTCAAGAACAATTTAACGTGCCCAAACTGTGCTGGTAGTTAGAAGTTGTTGACACCCGCCTCTTCAATCCCTTCGAAGCCTTGGACGTTGCAATACATCCGAAACGTCGTTTCGGCGGTTTAGGACCACAATGTGAAATGACAATATCTTCATATACGCACTTCCACAAAAGAACACTTCTTGAAATGGCTACTTTTTGCATTGACCACTTTTACAATTCATTGTTTCGGCTTCGGATTAGGGACATTACCACAAGTTTGACGATGGACCTATAAGTATATACATTAGATATTGTTTATTATCGCCCTGGAGTGTAACGTCTCTCCGTCCATCGCAAATGGATATATGTTTTATTCATGAATAAATCCCGAACTTAACGGAAATAAAGTGTGAAAATCGTGAAAGTTTAAATTAAAGTAAAAAAAGGTTATTTTTCCGGATTTAAATCGCGTATATTTGTTTTTTCAAACAAACCGACGTTTCGGGCCCTTTACAGGTCCCATGGTCACGGTTGACTGAGGTGGTACAGTCTTCAACCAGTTATGTCTAATATTAATGCAAACACCCATTGACTTACAAATAAATGGACGACGGGTCTAATACAAAAACCACGAAAAAATGTCCCAAGTCAACCTATTCGAAATTTAAATTGTAATGTCATCGCAGTATCGCGCTGTCAGTAGAACAAATGAAGACTAAAGCGGAGTATCGCGCTCTGTATACGATTTTAGCGCCTTACAAGTGCGGACACTTTTTAGCGCGGACCCGACGTCCATATAATTGTAAGTCAATGAAACCACCCTATTTTTTCACTATAGTTACATACTATAACTACATACTATAACTATAGTGAAATTCAATAATATTAATATTATAATTTTAAATTGAAAATTGCTTGCAGAGTCCCTGAAAGTCGTTTACGAGCGTTGACAGCAACGGACAACTTCTGGGAGATGGGCGCGAGTGGCCCATGTGGGCCCTGCACAGAGATACACTATATCAATAAGGATGGATCCCTAACTGAGATCTGGAACCTTGTCTTCATACAGTTTAATAGGTAAGTCGATAGTGACTGCACGCAGTTATCGCCTAGCTCAGGAGCTCAGTGTATTTGTTGATGTCGAAATTGAAGCACAGATGTCACTTGTAGCTTGTAACTTGTCAGAACATTTACCGATTTCAAATGCTGACTTTACTTTTTATTACGGATTATTATCATCACTATATAAATCCTCCATTTTAATTTTTCAACAAACTCACGTTTAAGAAAAATATAGGAAATTAAACTATTTTTTGGGATTTAAATTGCTTGTTTGTTTTTTCAAACAGTTTCAAGTTTCACCTTAAGTAATGGTTACGTTTTACCGTTACTGAAAAAATCAACACAAGAAAATCAAATATTCTCTTAAGAATGTTAATTTCTGTTTTTGGATCTTGGACTATCATTCACATCGACTGCAACCGATGTTTGAAGTCTCGACTGCACGCATTAACTGCACACATGCAGTCCATTTGTTATCAGCTTGAATTGCTTTTATTAATGTAATAAACCCACAGTGCAAGCCATTGGGCCACCAAGGTCATCAAATATAAACGAAAATAAGACCTTGACATACATTTTATCATACTTGACCGATTACAAATTAATAACTTGTGACATTCTTATTATTGGAGTCAATTTAACTTTTAAAACTAGACATTTCCATGCTATTTAATTTATGCCAAACTCTTTTGTACTGGCACTGTTTTATATTGTGGCCACGTTGTGGCAACAGACAATGGTTCAGTGGATCGAAGGATTTTTCTTTGTGTTTGTGTGATCTTTTTTTATCAATTCTTTTCACAAAAATAGAAGAATATCACTGTAATAAAAACATCACGATGTTCAATAAAAACAAATAAAATGAAAAATATTATTATTAAATAGTAAAACTACAATTCCCTAGAGACGTGAATGGCAAAGTACACGCGCTGCGACGCAATCACGTGGACACGGGCATGGGGCTCGAGCGAATGGCGGCTTTACTTCAAGGCGTTCCGTCTAACTACGATACAGATCTCTTCCAACCTATTATTAAAGCCATTGAAAAGGTGAGATAGAGATATTGTTCGATACTCTTCTTACTTAATAAAATAAACTTGTCGTCAGAGTTCATCCAGGGTAGTACTGCCACCTTACTTATTTATACCGCCAAGCGGTAATGTGGGCATTACTGCGTTCCGGTTTTGAAGGGTGTTGGTGAAATTACAGGCAATTTGTCAACTTATGGCTCAAGGTGACGGGCGCAGGGGCAGTGCTCTTCAGATCCTTGCGATTTTAAGCTCTGAGTGGCACTGCAACTGCTATGGACCGGCGTGTCGCTTAACATCAGGCGCACGATTTGTTCAATTTCATCAAAAACTTCGGTACTTTTTTTTTATGGTACTAATGATGGGACGAACAAGTCGTGCGCCTGATATTAAGCGACACACCGGAGCTTTAATTGTCAAAGATCTGAGAGGCAGTAATACGCCCGTAACCCGGAGATATAACGTCGCCTTACTTTCTCAAACTCTCATCTTAAAGCACAAAGTTACCGATATACAGTAAATGGATTGTGTATACAAACTTTGTAGGTTGATTTCACATCACATTCCCTTCATATTCACACACTAACTTAAAGTAATGTAATCAAAGTAACACCCTTGTTAAGAAATTTAAAATAAATAGAAAGTTTTGTCATCTCCTGAACAATCACTCTTTATAAGATACGAGTTTGAGAAAGTAAGGCATCGAAAGTTGAAAAGTCCGTTGTGCCTGTTATTTCACCAGCACCCTAGGGTGAGGCCAGACGAGCGAGCGAGTGAGACTTGCGCAGTTTGCGCTCCACCGAAATTCGGTTGGAGCGCCAAACGACCGTATTTAATTCAGTTGCTTTTAAGCGTTTATACGAGGTGTTTGTGTCGTAATAGTGTAATGGATCCATTAAAAATAGTAAGCATTTATGAAGCATTACAAGACGATGTTCGAAAAGGAAAAAGAAGCTGGGGTACATCCACTCAATATGAAACGATTAAAGTGCGGGCAGTTTCAAATATTATATACAAGTTTATGTGAACATCCAGATCAGTTTGTTAAGTACTACCACATGCCAGTAAATGTCCCCCCCCCCCCCACCAGCCCGACGCACGATGCGACCGAAAGTTAGTCGTCACTACGCCCGTGAGTCGGCAGATAACTTATTTCGCGTCGTCGTGTGAAACAAACCGTACTTTTATATGAAACAATGCAGTGCAAACTGCGCAACTGAAAAAACGCAACTCACAACTCACAAAATTACACTCGTCTGGCCTCACACTTACCCTTCAAAACCGGAACGCAGTAATTCTCACATTACCGTTTCGCGGCAGAAATAGGTAAGGTGGCAGGAGCTCTACTGCAACGTAGCCAAAGACACTCATCAGCCTTAACTCCCTGTTACACAGAACAGTAAAGGTGTGAACAAATACAGCGGCCGGTACGGCGCGGACGCCGCCCTCAATGAAGCCTACCGAAGACTAGCGGACCATTCGCGAATGATCAGCGTTTGTTTAGCTGACGGCGTATTTCCGGCTACAAGGTAAATATTTCTTAGTTGTATTGCGCTGGCGGTAAGGTGTAATACTGTGCTGGCCCGCAGGTTTGCACGGTGGTCAAATGAGGTTAAAATCACCCTTTTCAAAACATATTGCTGGACCCTATACACGTGCAACCTGTGGAACAATTACACTAAAAAAGCATATAGTGTCTTGCGTGTCCAATTCAAGCGAGATGCATCACATGAAAATAAGTTAAGCATTTGATTTTAATTATTAATTATACACTCAGAGATGAGTTATTGGTAGCAGTAAGCTTACAAAAAATATTAAGTGCAAAAGTAAGTTTATACAGCTATTTTTTCTTGTTAATTTTGATTTCGCTATTTCCTCGCCTTCAAATGTTCTGACTACCGTCTTCTTTTTTAAAAGTCGTTTATTTTGGAGACCACTATATCATCAAAAACTATTTACATAAATTCTTCTTCAAAAATGTCACAAATATCGAAAGTAGAAATTTCGGAATTTCATGAGTGTCGATGATCCGGCTAGTGTAGGATCAAAGATGTTCGGTGTTCTTGATCTGTGGACTGCATTCGTTCTGGTTCTCTGCTCAGGATCGGAAATGAAACGCTTGTTCAAAGGACTTGCCACTGACTGCGTTTATTGATCGACATGTTCCTACTTAAATACTAATTGTAGCCTCCCAACTAGTACAGGTGTCGGCAAGTAGGTGTCCGTAACAATGAGAACTGCCCAAATAATATGAGGTTTTCCAATAACAGTTTTGTATTTCAATAAAACACAGAATAATTCAGATATCACATATACATGTTACATTTAAGAATAGAATTCGATCTCGTTCATATGACCACCGCGAGCACGTTAGCGAGAGAAGAACAATATTACATATTATTGCTCTTCTTCCAAAATTTTTGCCTAAAGCATTTAAATTTTTCTTACTGTACACTTTATAAACTATCTCACTATTTCCAGCCTAAATCTGAAGCAAATACTTAGAAAAACCTTCAAAATATCTTCGGACGTATTCCATAACCCAAAATTACTGCCAATACTATATGACGAAGTCGCTGCTACGTTGGGCGCAACATATCCAGAACTAATAGAGAAAGAAAAAGACGCCAAAACCATTTTGGAACATGAATCGGAGGCCTATGCAAAGATGAGATCAAATCTTGTGAAGAAATGGAAGGATCTGGCCAAGCAGTATCCGGAAGTTGAAGCTCTAAGTGACATCGAGACGGCTGGGTTTGCTTTAGGGTATAAAGAGTTTAAAGAGGTATGTTACCGTTATTTTTTTTATTAAGTTTATTTTTAATGATTGCCGATAACATTGAAATGTACGCCAGTAATAATTGCATTGGAAATGAAACTATTTTTTCGGGTTTTAAAGAGTAAAACCATTCGGGTTTTACAGTAAGGTGCTGGTGAATTTTTTTTTGTACTATCAAGTAAGTGACGGGACGAACATGTCCTGCGCCTGATGTTATCATCAGGCGCAGGACACTAACTGTCATGGACAAGCGTGTAGGTTATCCTACACGCTTGTCCATGACAGTTGCAGTGCCACTCAGAGCCTTAAACTAATCTAAGGACAAGAATAAGAAAAAAAACTATCACAACTTTTCGATTTACATATACAAAATATTAAAGCAAACATCGGAAAACAAAATGGGTATATCAAGATCTTCGATGATGATTATGAATAATTTCGTTTATGGTATGATGGAGAAGATTGCCAATGAAGCGGGGAGGTTGGCCGCCTTCTCCAAGAAACACATGCTGACCAGCCGAGAAATACAAACAGCAATAAAATTACTCATACCTGGAAAATTAGCCAAACACGCGAACATAGAGGCTTTGAAAGCTATTACTATGTACCATAACAGCAGAGACAAACAATAAGTACTAATTGATTATCACTGGGTATCCCCAGTCAACCCGTGACCATGGAGCGTGCAACCGTTCCGAAATATCGGGAAAATAAAAAGAAGTTATACCGTGGTAAGAAACCTGTTACTAGTGATAATCATTTAGTGAATAACCACGAAAGTCTTAAAATCTATATAATAAGTACTAATGTAAAAAAAAATTGTAAATAAAAAGGTTGATTACCATAATATTATTATATTGTTATATTATAGCTTTATCAACTGAAATAAATATGTCACGAGGAGGTTTATCACACATTGCATGTGATATACTGCCACTGTTCGTTGTTAATTTGTCAATTAACATTGATAATAAAAAAATATAAAATGTACTCAACAGTCCCTATTAATTTGTCAACCAGTTTACATAAAATCCCATGCTAACTCGTCGCTTTATTTACAGACAATGGCGAAACAAAACTCTAACATACTTCCAGGAGATTTAGTCTTCAAGCTATATGACACTCACGGCTTCCAAGAAGATGTCATACAACGAATAGCAACATTGAATCAATTAGAAATAGATAGACAAGGCTTCTGGAAACTTCTAGCTGATCATAAAGCAAGGCATAAAACTGCATTAAGGGAACAAAGCTCAGATAAAGGATTATTGTTTGATAAATGCATACAACGACTTATAGAGAACCGTTACAAATCTACAAATGATAAACCAAAGTATGATTATGTTTTCAAAAATAATAAAATTGAGTTTAAGCTATTGGAAACACAGATAGTTGCAATTCTTAATTCTGATCTAGAGTGGTTGGATTTTCTACAACCAAATGAAACAAGAACTTATTTCATAGTGACAAAAGACACAAATTTCTACTGCGAAGAAGGGGGACAGGTCGCCGATACGGGTACAATGGAGATCAATAAAGATGTTACTTTTAACATTGAATCTGCGTTCAAAATTAGGGATTTCGTGTTCCACAAGGGTAAATTTAGTGTTGTACCATTCTGTGAAACAGCTGTAAACAATAAAAACAATGTTGTGTTAGCTATTAATGAAGAAAGAAGACTGAATATTATGAGGAATCATACTGCAGTTCATTTGATGAACGCTGCCATTAGAAAAACTCTGCCACATAGTGTAGTGTGTCAAATAGGTTCAAGTGTAACAGACAAAGGACTGTATTTAAATTTGTCAGTTTACGGTGAGAAGTTGTCCCAGAAAGTTATTTTGGATGCTCAAAAATTAGTTAGGTAAGTGAAGTTTGGCAAAATTTTTCATTCATTTAAAAAAAAGATATTTCATTGAGCCTCTGGTGTCGGAATAGTTGAGATATTATTGACCATACTGAATGTTAAAGAGAATCTTACATACAAAATTTGCTCCCAATACAGATACTTGCATCTAGATATCTTTATAATAATCAGAGACTGAAATAGACAGAACATATGATTATTAATCAAAACTATTTAGCAGTACATACTAATAATATCCAAGAACTTAAGTACTTTATTCATAAATTATATGTATGAAAAGGTACTTATATAATTGGATAATAACTGGTTAGGAAAATATGACTTCTACATTTTAATTTAACCCAATAACTTACTTACCTATTTAAATTCCAATTACATGATGAACATTGACAAAAATGTTTTTGTCACCATAATTGATTGCCTAGCAACTTTTTGTTACTGCACAAAATTTGGTAAGAGTATAGGTAGCCGACCCTATTGGCATAGGGTTGGTAACAGATGGTGTATCTATATAGTCTACCTTCTTTGAAGATGGAGCAAAATGACAGTTCATTGCATAAAAATGATGCCCACTTACAAGCAGCTACGGATTGTAGTCAATAAGTATTCTATCGACTATTGACTGGATGTTGTTGATTATTCGTCTCACTGGTCACACAGGTTCATTTTAATTGTCAATTTTTGTTAGTTCATGCATACATACATTACATTTAGAACTATTTCTATTAAAAATACAAAGAGGAAACATGTTTTAAGGTTTTCAATTTTAATTCAATATACTAGAATATAATCAAATCCGCCTGTTTTTGTTAAAATGTATATAAATTAATATAGATTTTGAAATTAGCAGGCCAACTATTAAAATAAAAATAAAGAAGGCAATAACGCAATTAGTCATGATTGGAACGACCCAACATTCACAAATTCAGACATTATGGCAATTGTTACACAATTTATCGTTAAAATGTCGACACAACACCAACTACAACGCTAAAATTTTATGAAAACTGGCAACCCTGCAAATGACATTTTACTCCGTCTCCAAAAAAGACAGAGTATAATCAACGGAAATGGTTTCACAGTTACACTTCATTTCCAGGCAATCAATTGAGTCACACTCTCCTGTGGAGACTAGAGTAATAGACTGTGTGCAGTTATCCAACGAGCCAGATGTGCTTCTGATTCCTGGGGAGATATACCCTGAGACTGGGCTCCGGTTGATCACAGTTGATCTGCCGCTTGTGTCAAAGTAAGTATGTTTTATGATTAGAGGCAGCCTATAGACTTTCTTTGCCTTATCTCGTCGTGCTTAGTGTTAATGGCCCCTATGGCATCGTCATCATCAACCCATTTATACGTCTCACATCTGGGCACGGGTCTCCTCTCAGCGAGGGTTTAGACCATGGTCTGCCACACTGGTCCTATGCGGGTTGCGGACTTACAGGCTCTCCGAGGGTTGTGAACCTTCTTCGACGGGCAGGTATTATCACGACGTTCTCCTTCACTGAAAAGTTCATGATAATTTGTGAATTTTGAGAAATTCTGACTGCGAGGCCAGATTCGAACCCACGGCTTCTGCGTGAGAGGCCGTAGGTCAAAATAATAATGTGCCAGATACCAGCACTAATTACTGGTCTTAAAGTATAAAATTCCCTGTTCTATGAGTACCAGAGCAACAGAATTCACTCCGCTGCAATTTCCATATTACACGAATCTCAGTCAATTTAGGTAAGTTCATTTCTCAAATAGGTCTTACCGAGAATCGAGCTGCTGCCCTCTCCCATCCGCTCAAGACGTCCTTGCATCACGAATATGCTCGTTCGTCCCAGCTGTAATACAAATTTCTTTTTTAACTCTTTTTTGAGCAGCGAAGTTGTAGAACAGACTCCCTTCTCACATCCAAGCTAGGCCGTCGATCGCTTCCTTCAAAAAAAGGTTGATAGCGCACTTTCTTGCTGAACTGTCTATGCAATCATCTTATATTTGTGTTTTATATATGTATATAAATAATATAAACACTTATTATTACATATATATATGTATATAATCGTAATAAGTTTGTTTGTGTGCATAGTGTTGCCCGCTTATGACCTTTGTTCTCACTGCCTTTGGTTGGCTGCAACAGATCTCTACTAGAGATAAGTCCACCTTTGCTTACGTTTTCTATAATTAATTTTTCTGATGTTTTTTTTATGCAATAAAAAATAAAGAGTCGAACTTGGGTCCTCCTCGTCCAGCGCCCACAGTGAATGTCTACCTTTTTATATATGACTATGAGTCATTGATAAAAAGTGTTTGAGACAAGCCACAGCACAACATGTAAAAGTGATGGTAATATATGGAACAACGCAGTACAAAAGTCTGTCTTTTCAGAGAGCTATGTTGCGGCACTCACGTACCAAGTACAGGTGTGATCGGCGAGTTCTGTGTAACGCTAGTCAAAGGCGCGCGTGGCCACACGCCCACCATACATGCGCTTACTGGAGATAGAGCCACAGAGGTGAGATAAGAAAAACATAATCATAAGTTATAATGTGTATGATCTACTATGGCAAAGGCTGGAAAACGAAACTGATATAGCCACAGAACAATAAATACAGTAGAAGTGGTTAGTTAGCGTCTGATGCGTGCCAACTATAGGGCTCGAAAAACTTGTCTGAGCCCAGTCCGCCATTTTCACTTTGTATGGTTATGTCATTCTTTCGTACACATTCTCTATAATCCTAGAAAAATGCCTTATTGTGCTGTTTTGGTGTGCAAAAATGGCTGCCATGCCAAAAATATTACCTGTGGACGTATTTTATATCATCCGAATGTCTTATTTTAACAAATTTTCAGTTTTCTGTTTATCGAAATAATTTTTTGTTACAAGAAACGAAAGTAAAGCTTATGCCCCTGCAATGTGGTCGCTTCTTGTCTGGAGAACTAAATGAATAACGTCAATTCGTCGTGGTTCAGCAATTGACCGCTAGATGGTAGCACATTGATTGAAATTTCAATATAATATCAAAACGTCGTAACTTGTAACAATAAATATTGATGGTATTGAACTTTCAACCATATGCCAACAGGGTAAAGTTTCAATTATATTAACAATTCAGAATTTATTATTTCTTTTTAAATTTGAAACTACGTCAAATCAATATCAAGATTTTGTAGTGTTTCAAATTAAGTGTGTGTGAGTTTTGATAGTAATCGAGACTTAAGTCACTTCCATTGTATTTTTATCTTCCGTGGATGTAGCGGATAAGATTGTATCCGTGTTTAGTTATTGGCACTCGAAACAAACGAAATATGTGAGTGCAGATTCGCTCTCGGATGAATATAAGTTGGAGTGCGGGGTAAGGCAGGGGGATTTTTAATTTCTACATAAAACGGTTGATTGTCGAACTCTGTAGTATCTAGGCTGTAATAATGATGGAATATGCGTAAATAATCCAAGTCATGCGGATGATATGGTGCTGCTGAGCCCATCGATCAATGCGACGTTAAAACTGCTCCACATACAATATCAAGTTGTTTAAGTCAGGCACGTAGTCCTATCCAGACGATCTAATCAATCATTATTATTTAAAAAGTGCATTATGACATATTGTTGATTTTGAATAAAAGTTATATAGAGGTAGATATATTTAGATAGATATATCTTTTATATTCCAGTATTTGTGTTAATGCCTTTGTGTTTTGTTCACTTCAAATTTCATATATCATGTCGTTTGTGTGCTGTTTTTTTTATTTTTGTTCTTGCCAAATACAGTAGATCGAGCTCACTGAACATATGACTGATCATATACAAAAATTCATGATATATTTAAGGCGCTATCTATTGGTGCAGTATTGGACTACGTAGTTGCGAGCTGTCGTTTAATCTTCCAAAGAATAGTTTACCAATACAGTCAAGCATCGAGTATGGAAAAAAATAAAGGAAAGGAGCTGCCCTAACTACAGTATGAACGTGCATATCTAAACAATAATTGAACGCTACAAATGGCAGATTTTTTTTAGTGTTGTACCATAATCTATCAATAAGTCATTATCGACATGCAAATGTATGATTTGAAAGTTAAAACTGTTTTTTTTTATTTCTTTAGTTTTATCATGTAATCTAGTTACATTCAAAGTTCTGTTAAAATTTGTCTCTTCAAAATGAAACGAATAAATGAAGATTGTCTTTGATTCAATGTTTGTATTCGGCAGACCTATGATTTCCTACCAATCTTTTTTCTTTTTTCATTTGTAGGTAAACTTGAAATAGTAAAAATAATAATAATAAAAACCTCGTAGTGAAATAACTGCCTCCGTGGCCGAACGGTTACCATGCCCGACTGCCACGCAGAGGTCCCAGATTCGATTCCCAGGCCGGAAGATATATTTGTATGGCCTACATTTATTTATCTCGTGAGTTTGGGTGTAATTTGTGGTTGTCTATGTGTGTCCATGGCACTCGCGACACAGGGTTTCCCTAGTGCTATGTCGAGTGTGTGCGTTATAAAAAAAAACGAATAGAACATAATAATATAACAATATTGTCGGAACAACAACAGTACGTGGAAGGAACAGGCTCAGTAATAATCCTTGTGGCTGTATACCACGCGGTACAAAAATTGTTTTAACAACAGAACATCGATAATATGTACGCTTACAAGAACAATACTATCACAAAACAATCATTAACAACAATCATCAAAATATACAAAGAAGTAGGCAATCTGTAGTAATCAAAGCAAAATTGGGCAAGATTTAGGAATAAACTACTTAAATGAGTCTAATTACATGAGATATTTGGGCTATTGTGTGATTTATAGACAGAAAAATAACCATGCATGTGCAATGTTACATTCGGTTGATTTTCGCCTTTGCTATTGCCACATCCCTTAATCCTGCAGAGATGCATTTTTATTAATACCTAATTGTTCTCACTGTCAACATTTATGTCCATTTTATTACTATCCCTGTAAATAATTCAATAAAACACTGGGAAAAACATTTGTTTTGACATTTGATATACTTCCCTTTGACAACCATATTATGTACCTCATGTACTGCGAAATGAACACAGTTCGCATTTAAGATGACGTTACGTATTTTCGATTCCCGTGTTTGGCACAGACCAATGTAATCTGACACAGCAGTTAAACAAAGACAATAACATTTTTATGTTTTCAGTGTCGAAATGCATCATATATTTACATATAATATCTGATTTATGTATGTCAACATAACATGCCCTTTGATTTCCATAGTCTAAGATATAACTAGAATTAGAGACGAAATGTCATTTAATATGTTTGAAAACTATTCTGCCATATCATTACTGTGGCAACAGCGCTCCGATTGGTTAGCCCGAGTTCGAAACAATTGACGGGTGTCGTCTATTGTTTCTCTTCAAATCGACCAGTTAACTTGAGTTTTACATATGTAATTACCGATGAAATTTGATTTCGTTTGTTTTGTAGATTAGATGTTTTGCTGTTTTTCCCCACACTACCGAATGGAACAGCACGCCATTGTTAGAGATATTATCTTTATTACAATAAATACAGAATAGTTTTGGAATGTACGGAGACGTACACGCTGATCAGTTTTTGGCGCTGTACTTTTTCAGCTTTCTAATTTTTGATTTCAGTGCAAACGACAATTGATATTGATAAGTGATGTATCACTGGTTACCAGGAATGTATGGTCCTTATTTCGTCTCCACTTCTGGTTATGTACTCGATGCAGTCAAGTAACTTTTGATAATTCATCTACAGTCATATCTATTTCCAGGCCCGCGAACTCTTTTGCAGAGCACAACAACTGGAACATGTAATAGAGCTGATCGAGCCGGAACCCAAGAAGCGGGAGATAGCAAGTATCCGGAGCCAGCTGGCGGAAGTGTGCGGCACCGGCGGCGCACCCTACGCCGATTACGCTCAGTGCCTTGCCCTCTTGGACAGTTTGCAGAAGAGAGCGGTTAATAAGAATGAAATGGCGCTACAGTGAGTAGTTTAAAAGCTTCCAGAGTCGGGATTTAGGGCGTACTCTGTGATAATGAGGTCTTTATCACACTTACCTGTACAACTTCGTAGAGATGTTGCATCGTATAGCGCCTCGAGTGCTCTGAAGAATTCGTACATGAAACCAAATAATATTGTAAGTCAAAATTGTGGAATTGAGAAAACACAATTTGAAAATTAATAAATAATAAATATTAGACAATATCACATACATCGCTCTGATCCCAAAAGTAAGTAGCTAAAGCAGTTGTGTTATGGAAATCAGAAACATTGGCAGCGGTAAACAAGACAAATTGTATGGTTATTGAATGTCACTATGTTCGATCATCATGATATTCATTTATTTTTACGAAATAGATTTGGGTTTGGATTCTGGTGATTTTGGATTCCGGCAGATTGAAGAAATAGATTTCTCACAGATGGCGCTACGGTAAAAAAGCGTTAAAAACCAAAAACAAAAATCTGCAACAACATTGACTTACAAATAAATGGACGACGGGTCTAATACAAAAACCACGAAAAAAATGTCACAAATGAAGATTAAAGCGGAGTTTGGCGCTCTGTATACGATTTTAGCGCCTTACAAGACTTTTTAGCGCGGACCCGACGTCCATATAATTGTAAGTCAATGTGCAACAAGCACATAGAAAAACGCGTAAGGTCCGCTAGTTCGTTCCGTGGCTTAGTTGGCATAGCGTCTGGCACGGTTTGCTGGAAAACGGTGGTTTTTTTCTAAGTGTTCGATTTTTGTATTAATAATTATAACAAACTAGTGGAGTAATTGCACAAAAATTTAATATCAATTCAACAAATATTTAAATTTGTAAATAGTTAAGTTAAAGAAAAAACTAATTAACCGGAATGTCAATTCGCGATTGCAGGCTTCGCAGACTCTGCCTACTAGGCCATTAAGCCGTATCATTACTACTAAATCATTTATAAACATACACTATAATAATTTAACATTATTTTAACAACGTTAAACAAGTACAAAAGTGTACACAGTACAGTATACTATAGACAGTTTCTAACAACTGTCTATTTCTGCATTTGTAGCAACGTATAGCTTACAAACTTGTAATAAAGATATACTGGGTATATTTACGTAAATTTCGAGGAAGTTTCATATATAGTGGATAATATCTTTGTTTTATATCACAGAATTATTGTATTGTGTTTTGTTCTATATTTTTTATGCGTAACTAGCAATCACTTTACTGCTGAAGTGTATTTAGGATAATAGTTTTGTAAGTAAAATATGTTCGATTTTTGTATTAATAATTATAACAAACTAGTGGAGTCATATCACAGAACTAATTGAATATCGTGGTGAACAAACATCGTGACATTCGATAAACTTAAAAATTATACTTATTAAAGCCACATCTTTAGTCAGCTGCTAGTAGCTGTAAAAATACCTGGCTGAGTGATGAAATACATTTCACACAGATGGCGCTACGACAAAAAGTCGTTATAAACCAAAATCAAAGGTCGGCAACAGGCATATAGACCAATTCATAATAAGGTCCGCTCTAGTTCGTTCCGTAGCTTAGTAGACATAGCGCCTGACACGGTTTTCTGGAAGACGTTGGTTCGAATCCAGCCGGATCTAAGGATTTTTTTCTAAGATCTTTGTATTAATCATTGACTTACAATTATATGGACGTCGGGTTCGCGCTAAAAAGTGTCCGAACTTATAGGGCGTTAAAATCGTATAAAGAGCGTCATTCACGCTTTAGTCTTCGTTTGTTCGATTGACAGCGAAGCAAGCAAAATTAGACTGTACTGCGTTGACATTACAATTTAAATTCAACGTTTTAGCTTTTTCATATTCCTTTACATGTCACTACTACACATTTAAATAGGTTGACTTGGGACATTTTTTTCGTGGTTTTTGTATTAGACCCGTCGTCTATTTATTTGTAAGTCAATGGTATTAATAAGAAATTTTTTTCAGGGCAATAGCAGAACAAGAGATTCGTGAAGCGTCAGCGGAAGCAGCCCGAAGCGGCCGCAGATTCATAGTGCACTTCCTGCGTTGCTCATATCTGATGCAGAGTGAAAGTGTGACCAAAATCTTGGCGGGGTGTCCCATTTCCGGACCGGCACTGGTGATTGGCTGTGCAGGTGGGGTCATTGTAGCCTCCTGCAGGGTACCACAGGTGAGTCAGGGAAAGATATTATATAATTATAAGTATTATTTAACTATAGTCTACCTTTTTGAACATGGAGTAAAGTGACAGTTCATGTCTCAAAAGTGTTGCCCGCTTGAAGCAGCTAGTGATTGCAGTCGTTCAATATTCTATCGACCGTTGACTGGAAGTTGATTACGCTTATGCTTATGCTTATTAATTACCGAATTTGTTTCATTTAAACCGTCATCGGTCCATAATTCGTACAACTGGTCGTCACAGGTTCATATTATGTATATACAGGGTCTAAATTTGAGACGGGGCAGCAAGGCCAACTACCTTAATCGTTGTAGTTACAGGAAAACGGTTCTAGAAGACTATCCATGAATTTTGAAGATATTTTGATTGGCATTCACAGATTTTGAAAAAATGGTACAGTCAGCAAGATAAAAGGCTATTTTCACAATTTTTTTTTATGCCATTCGATCCTGTCTCTGGCAAAGATCTATAGTCTCTATGGGACCAACTTAATTTTATTAGTTTATAATTTAATAAATTTTTTTTTCATTTAAAATATTACAATTTTTGTTCGAAAATCGCCTCCAGTGCAACCTAACAAGATTCGTCAATGTGCAGCTTAATGTGCTGGCGTGTGTACATGTAATGGCACACATTAGTAATCGTGCTTGTCTATTGCATTGGGTTGATAACCTGCAACAGTAGATCAAGTTTTGAAAATAATCAAAGGATCCCATTGACTTACAATTATATGGACGTCGGGTCCGCGCTAAAAAGTGTCCGCACTTGTAAGGCGCTAAAATCGTATACAGAACGCGACACTCCGCTTTAGTCTTCATTTGTTCTACGGACAGCGCGATACTGCGATGACATAACAATTTAAATTTGGAATAGGTTGACTTGGGACATTGTTTTCGTGGTTTTTGTATTAGACCCGTCGTCCATTTATTTGTAAGTAGCGCGGACCCGACGTCCATATAATTGTAAGTCAATGGGTCCTTTATACACATTGTGGGGAATTAACCGTGTCCAAGTGATAAATTGATGTCATCGAGTATATAACTAGAAATAGAGACTACGAGAAATGTCATTTAATTTGTTTGAAAACTATTCTGCCATATCATTACTATGACAACTGCGCTCCGATTGCCCAGCCCGAGTTCGAAACAATTGGCGGGTGTCGTCAATTGTTTTACTTCAAATCGACCAGTTAACTTGAGCTTTGCCATACTGGACGAAAACTGAAAAAAAAATTTAATATTTAATTACCGATGAAATTTGATTCCGTTTGTTTTATAAATAGATGTTTTGCTGTTTTTCCCCCACACCATCGAATGGAGCAGCACGCTATTGTTAGAGATATTTTCTTTATTACAATAAATACAGAATATTTTTGGAATATACGGAGACGTACACACAAGTCAGTTGTTGGCGCTGTACTATTTCAGCTATCTAATATGTAATTTCAGTGCAAACGAGAGTTGATATTTATAAGTGATGTATCACTGATGAGTTACCAGGAACATACGGCCCTTATTGCGTCTCTACTTCTGGTTATATACTCGATGATTGTGTATTCTAGGATATGGTAAGCTCGACGTTCGACGCCCCGCGGTGGCTGAGCTGCGTGCTGCCAGTGTTTCAAGCTCAGTTGCTGCCGCCAGTCGACGGACTGTCGCCGTCCACGCAAGCCGAAATGGCCGCCACTAAGGTATATTTCTTTTTTTTGTAATATCAAGTGACGGGACGAACAAGTCGTGCGCCTTCCCTTTGTTTTGTTTTTGTTTGTTCGGTCCGTCACCAATGATAAAAAATGTTGACTACTTTGCATAGACATGTGAAAGTCACTTTAGCAAGAAGAATATAAGTATATAATAAATAATCATTATAACTTTTTTTATTAAAAAAACCGACTTCAATAGTTTGCTTATTGATTTTTTGTGTTGGAATTAAATTTATTTGCCAAGTTTTATTGAAATGGTTAACGGAAAATGCGCGAAAGCGGATTCGTCCCTTAGTTTGCCAACCCTAGAGGTTTTTTCTCTAAATTTAAACGGGGCTAGACATCTTTAAAAAAAAAACAAGCATCCTAATAAAAAAACAAGGTTCACAAATCGGAGGTATGTATGCATGGTCACTAGCACAGCGTACTTGCAACAAAACCTTTTAAAACGGGGATTCTATTCTCAAACCAGGGCGTTTTTTTTACGAAAGGGTCCGAGGAGAGATGGGTAGATAATTTGTGCATTCGCGAAAAATGCCTATATATTGAGGCAAAGTCAAATAATCATTTATTCCATAGGTAAAATTTTTACACTTGAAAACGTCATTTTTTAAACTACTGCTCATTCACTGTGCCGACTTCCCAGAGAAAAACAAGCAATAAGCTCTAGGGATTGCTCTTTTCAATTAAACTTAAAATTCTATGGAATACACTTTGAATCATAATTGTGTGGAATCTAGACTCTTGCTGTCTTTCCATAATTCTTTATCTAAAACATACTCTACAATTGTGTAACTTTTCAATTAAAGTACTTTTAATGTAAGTTTTCAACTTAGGAAATGGTACTCTTAATAATAGGGGATAAAGTATGAAATTGCCGATTTGTACTGAAAATCTAAATTGTTTATTTTTTAAATTTTTAACAAATTTATTTAATCAAAATAGTTGCCATTATTATCTATACATTGCTGCCATCTAATGGGAAGGTTATTAATGCCTTTGCGATAGAACTCCGACGATCTAGACTGCACAAACTGAGTGAAAGCATTTTGTACTGCCTCCTGGGAAGAAAACTTCTTGTCACGTAGATAATTGTCCAAATCACGAAAAAAATGGTAGTCCGTTGGAGCAAGGTCTGGTGAATACGGAGGATGACGAATGGTTTCTAACTGCAGCTCCTGAAGGGTCAAAATGGTTTCTCGTGCTGTGTGAGGTCTCGCGTTGTCGTGGAGCAATAATGGTGAAGATCGATTCATGAGTCGGGGCTGTTTTACTGCTAGTTTTGTCAACATGGTTCGGAGTTCGGCACAATAGACATCTGCCGTTATTGCTTGACCAGATCGGAGAAAACTATAGTGAATAACACCATGCTGAGACCACCAAACAGTTACCATTACCTTTTTATTGGTAAGTTTTGCTTTAGGACACTGTTGTAGCATTTGACCTGGGGTCAGCCATTCCATTTTTCTTTTCCGGTTATCATAAAGAATCCACTTTTCATCACATGTTATAATTCGATCCAATATTCCTTCATTTCTGTACCGGTTCAACAAGGCAACACAAGTTTCAACACGCGTTTCTTTCTGCAGATCAGTCAAATCATGAGGCACCCATTTTTCGTATTTTTTTATTTTATTGATTTGACGCAAGTGAGTCAATATTGTGGGTAAGGTAACGTTAAACCATGCCGCTAATTCCTGGGTAGTTTGTCTAGGATCGGCTTCCACTATCTCTCTTAATTCATCGTTATTCACCTGTGTGGGCGGTCTTCCTCGTGGCTCGTTCTTTAAGTCGAAATTTCCATCACGAAAGCGTTTAAACCAAAATCGCACGGTGCGTTCATTAGTAGACCCCTCTCCAAACGCAGCATTGATATTGCGG